CAAGAAAAGAAGATGCAAGGATGGAAATGTCTTGCTTGGTCTGCATGCTATGAGAGGGAAAAAAGAGATGAAGTCATTCCCAAAAAAGACTATCAGCTGAGCTGTCACTGAAGACAGGTTTCAGGCTGGATATGTGCAGCACAGGTGGCAGCAGAGGGAACAGACTGGAAGAGTTTCTATTCCTGGGTAGGATGTCAGCCAGCTGCATCTCTGCTGGCCTTCCCGCATTTGTAGAAATGAGACGTAATCCTTGCCTAATGCAAAGGGATGCCCTACTCCTAAGTGCATTCCCATGCTTACGTGTAAGGGGCTGCAGAACTGCAAAGCATTGTCCCCTCCGGCATGACAAAGTCAGACAACGCTTTTCCTGATGGAAAACAAATGGTGGTACCTTTTACAGCTCAGTCTTTGAGAGCAGCCAGTGGATTTCTCTGGGATTTCAGGTGCTTGGGGTTGTTTCTGGGGCTGGCAGAGGTGATCAGTGATCTGAGGTGGGCTGGTGATCTTACAACCAGCTCCTGAAGTGGGTGTCTTGGAAATGCTTGTTCAGTCAGGCTCAGGCTGAATCCCTGGTGGGAGCAAGCTGCCTCCAGGTTTGGAGGCTGTGGTTTCTTGGGCAATGAGGACAACCGGCAAAGCTTGTCCTGTCTCTGCCTTGCCCAGCATGTAGCTTGCTCCTAAACCCAGGTGAGGGGAATAATTAGCACTGTGGGGAAAGTCCCTAGCATTTAATTCACCTGCTCCAGCCTAGTCCCATGCACTAAGGTTGTCCAGAGATGTTGTGGATGCCCCAGCCCTGGAAGTGTCCAAGGCCAGGCTGGATGAGGCTTGGAGCAACCTGGTCTAGTGGAAGGTGTCCCTGCCCATGGCAGGGGGGTTGGAACTGGATGGTCCTTAAGGTCCTCTCTAACCCAAGCCAGTCTGTGATTCTATGGCTTCTTAAATTCACGCTGTAAACCACTAAGGAAAATCCTGTGACTTCCACCCCAGCATGGCTAACTGCTGCGGGAGGACCTGGCTGCTTGGACCTGGTGCTCCAAGGCAAGGAAGGGAGCTGGTTTCAGGTCGTAATTTTTGATTTCTGTTGCTTGCAGTTTACACTGTGTCCCAGGCACAAGGCTCCCACTGGACCATCCTTCCCTACAGCCCTTCATCCAGACAAAATGTCCCACTGATGCTAGTGCGCTGGCTCAGGGGGAGGGAGGAAAGCCCAGCGCTGCCGTGTGCCCGGGCAGGGCTTGCTGCAGCCGAACGCACAGCAGCAGTGGGTCTGTCTGTGCTGGGTGTGAAAGCAGGAGGTGGAGCTAGCTCCTTACTGTGGGTGAAGTGTCAGCACCTGCCCCTCACGTCTGGGCTTTGCACAAATGTCAGGCTTTCATTGGAAGCATCAAAGATGCTGGTGTGATCTGTGTGCGAAACACAGCAGGGCTCAGATCCAGGTATCAAGCCTATCTTAAGCAATAGGTGTTACCATTTCCCTGTGTGCTGGTTTTGGTTGGGATAGGAATTTTTCTCACAGTAGCTAGTATGAGGCCATGTTTTGGATTTGTGCTGAGAAGAGTATCGACAACATAATGATGTTTATCGTTGTTGCCAAGCAGTGTTTGTGTCCAGTCAAGGACTTTCAGTTTCGGATACTGCCCGTGTTTCCAGCTGCTTCACTACAAGGACAGCCAGGACAACTGACCAAAGGGATATTTCATGCCATATAATGTCATGCTCAGTATGTAAGTTGGGGGGAGTGTGCCGGGGGTCTGACTTGTGGGGGCATCTGGCTCTGCTGGATCTCGGGGCTCTGGCTCACCCTCCCTGGCTCCTTGGGGCTTGGCTGGGTGTCAACATGTGGTAAGTGGTTGTATTACTATTTTATATTATTTTTATTGTATGTTATTATTAATAGTACTAGCATTTTCATTACATATTATTAGTAGTAACATTAGTATTACTCATATTGTTGGTATTATTAGTATCATTATTTCATTGCTTTTAAATTATTAAATTTTTCTCATTTCGGCACACAAGTTTTATTGCCTTTTCCTCCGATTCTCTCCCCCATCCCACTGGGGAAGTGAGGGATGAGTGAGCAGCTGTGTGGTGCTTAGTTGCTGGCTGGGGTTAAACCACAACACCCTATTACCAATATCCCATTTCAGTCCCAAATAATGTTGCTTTTTATTTTCCACTGAGGCCGCAGGAGCTGCATTCAGTCCTAATTTGCCTCATGAATGCCAGGCTGGCTTTAGGAACAGCCCATCCCTCCTTGCCTGCTCTCCCGAGTCGGATCAAGGGGGGCTGACTTTCTTCCTTCTGCTGCAGGTCAGGCATCTGCTCTTCTTTCTCATCTGTGGTGGAGTGAATTGATAGACAATAAAATGGGACAAATCTGTTGGATCTGTAGATCTGAATTAAGGCACAGCAGACCGAGATTGACTGGAAGCTCTGCTGTTTCTGACACCCAAAATTACTTTGTCACCTTGCTGTGCCGCACGCTGCTCACTCCCAGTCCTTGGCCATGGAAAATGACACACTCCGTGGATTTATGGGCCACCAGGTACAATTTTTTTTTGCAGTGGGAACCGTTCTCTCATGCATGATCACTGAGTGACTGTGGTGTGTGCAGAGGTTTCAGGGATTCCATGGTTAACCTGGAGATTAGGACATGTCCTAGGAGCTGTGGGGGAAGAACAGTTATTTATTTGAATGTTAGCAGATTTGTATATTTTTTAGAAGACGTTTACTGACTCCCTGGTTGAACTAATTCTTCTAAAATGCTTCAAGTTCATCTGATTGTTTTTTCCCTGGGTTTAGAGGCAGGGAGGGGGAGAGGCATCCT